TATGCAACCTCGTGTTCATGGAGTTCGGAGGTTTAAAGGTTCGGGCTCAAGTGCTGGTACATCCCATGCATGTTTGCTGATGATTACAGGTGGCAGGAAGGGACACTCCAGTGCTGGTGATGATGATGACGACGACGACTTTGTGGTTCCACCTCCCAAAAAACAGAGGACGCCAACTGTGTACATATCCTCCGATGAAGAGCGGGCAAGTGAGCGACAGTCAGGACAAAGTGAGCGTCATGAAGCTTACGAAAACGTTAATATGATACCACAGGCAAGTGAAGGTTGTCTGCCGAGTGATCCCATGCCGACACGAGCACATGATGCACATCCAGCAGATGTAAGTTGATTAATGTCCACGTATTAAGCCACAAATCAGTTGTTACTCTTTCCTATCCTTGTCGATAACAAGTTCATTCTGGGATTGTGTGTATGTACAGGTGTATGAGCAGTTGAAGGAATTGAACGAGAAGATGTCAGAGATGCAGTTGAAGAATGCAGATTTAACTGTGCATCTACATGAGGTCAAGTCACAAGAAATGTCATTGCAGGCTAATCGCAAAATTAAATTGAACCAAGTTATCCGAATGCAAGGGGAGATTAAATGTGACATGATGGACATAAGGTCCAACATGANGCAGGCAAATGGCATACATAACTTGAACCAGATTATTCGAATGCAAGGGGAGATTATATGCAACATGATGGACATAAGGTCCAACATGACACTGCTGTCTGATTCTGTGACTGGTTTGATTTCTAGTACGATGGATGCCATTTTGGAAATGTTGAAGGAGAAGAATGATAGAAGAAGTGATGTAGCTGAAGAGAAACCACAAGAGAAAGTAAGTTGAATTGTGTGTTAAATTGTTTCATTGTATTACTTGAAGTTTGTGATGTAACATTACTACTACATGCAGGGTGCAACACATGATCAGACACTGGGCAGGAAAGGAAATGGTAAGTTGGAATCTGTTGGAGTAGTTGAATACCCATCTTTTCCTCCGCCAACGTCATTTGATCTGGGGATTTCATGTGCACCAATCACTAGGGTGTGGTGAACTTGAACGAAATGTTCCAAACCACAGAAGTACAACAATGTGTTGATGATGTGATTGTTGGTATACTTGAGGGGGTAAATACAGATGTAGATGCTGAGACGACAAAGGAACAAACTAAGGGGTTGTGGTATTGCTAAACTTGTTTTATATTTAAATGAAGTCACAAATCACAAGACACGGCATATAGTCCATTACAGTCACAAGTACACGTCACTTAGCTACTATAATTTCTTCCTTTTGCAGATATCACCTCCTTCAGCACCATCGTCTGGCTTACCTGTGAAGCGGGCTCCCAAACTAACTAAATTATTACAATCCCCATATGTTACTGGCGCTGGAAAACAAAGCAAGCAGTCAGATGCTGTAATTGTTTTTGAGATCCATGATAAGCCAGTCGATGAGGTTGATGTTGTAGCGTTTAACAATTGGCTCAACAGAGGTTACAAACCACGGAACAAGTACGTAAGGCTAATATTCTGTGAAATGTGATTGTGTTCAAATGTAAACAAAATCTTCATATTGAGTTTTCGTGGTCATTTTTTTGTTGTTAGGAAAAAATTTAATGATGCAGATGACGTGATTCGACCTTTGTTTCTCATTGGTTCTATCACCGTGGAGTCAAAAAATGGTGGCATGAGCTTATTTGTTCAGAATCTTCACTTAGCAGTACGGTATGTGTACTACACAGAGTGTGATGTGTTCAGTTGGATTGTCACAAGTCACAGTGCATGTGCTGGGATAAAAAGTTGTGTAAATTTCATATTTAGTGGTCACAAAGGACAGTTTCACGCACAACATTCATGTGAAAGACTCCAGTTCTGATGAATTTAACATGTCACATATATGTAACAAGTATCAGTTCACATATTTATGCACAAGTCACAGGTATGAATAATGAACATTGGTCACAAAGTGTAGGTTAAGTGCACATATCACATTTATGGGCAGAAGACACAAGTTATACAGACAAACATGTCACATATTAATCATAAAGTCACATATAAGAGTCACAATTGATTATACCGTGGTCACATAAATATCTGATGAATGTGTCTTTTCTTTTACAGCACATGGACGTGTGTTTCTATTTTCTACGACAATTCGTAGTAAAAAGTCCGCTTGCTAGAGTGAGAGCCACCACAACAGATTCGTTGTTCCAGGCGAAGATCAAAAATTTGTTTGCCAATTTCATGAAAGACACTAATGTGATAACGTCATATTTCTACATTGTTGAAGTTGCCACAGGTGGTCGGATAGAATACAATCGTCCTTAGGCTGATGTGGATTATGTGTTGTTGCCAATTTTACCCACAAATCGTGCTCACTGGATGCTTGAACATAAGCAAGCGTGTCCTATACATATTTCATTCCAACTACAAGACTTATCGAGATAAAATGATTAATACCGAGATTGAACCTTTTGCAAGAATTATCCCCCATTTGATGCATAGCTTGGGAATATGGGAAAGAAAGTTTGATGCTGCTGATCCTCTTAGGATGACGATCATGGTTGCTGATAACATACCGTATCAACAGAATGAGTATGTATGTGACTTAAATTTCTGTTGTTCACTGTTACTTTTACACCCTGATTGGTGACATGTTATTTTTTTCCAATTCTGTTCAGGCATGATTGTGCCATCTTTGTTAGTAAGTACGCAGAATATATGCTTCACAACGCCATGACGACTATGCCGATGTCATTCGATGCTGGCCAACCAAGGCTGGACATTGCTGTACATCTATTTAAACATAAAGAGATGAAGAAGGTGTAACGACACGGGTCCCACTTAACGGGTTGCCCCGACCGTTAGATCGACGACGTACTGTCCTCAGTATACCAACATGGGTCTTTTCAGCATGCTTTGTCCTCACTCGCACGCTCTCCGAGAAAACTTCCCGGGGGATCACCCATCATAGAATTGCTCTGAGTCAAGTACGCTTAACTGTAGAGTTTCTAACGATGAACTTTCGGAAAAGAAGGTGCACCTTGTTGGTATAAGTAGTACCTATCAAATATTTTAAGCTTTCCTAGTTTGGGTATTACAATCACCCCCCATTTGACTTGCGACGTCCTTGTCGCGCTTGATCCATCTGAGGATTCGTTGACAGGCGTTGAGATTCTAGAGGTGGCTCCTACGGGTTCAAAAGGTGGCTCCCGCACTATGGCGTAGCACTTTGTCCCGCATAGCACTTAGTTCCCGATTTTCGGCTGGCAATCGAGCTCTGATACCATTTGTAACAACACGG